AAAATCTAGATGGATAAAAACAAAGCTGTTAACCCTGGTCTCTTGTGCTTGAGTGGAGAAAGAATTTCCACTCTATACTTTATAGATTTCTTGTAATATGTAATTTTTAACTCAGCATGTATCATTTTCGTAATAAAAATATACAAATCTGGAGGGGAAATGAAAATATGTTTCCTGCCCAGGAGGAATTACAATCCAGGTAGTGAACAATGACTTAACCAACCCTCGGATGGCTTACCATTATTAACAGGCAGATAATAAAATAACAAAATGAGATGGACTTGTATGTGCTCTGTGGGATCCACAGTAAAGAAATCAATCTGACTTGGGCAGGGTTAATTGGAGAAGAGTTTCCGGCAGAGGTTGATGACTGGGCCAGGATACAAAGTACAGTAAATTCTCTGTATAAACAGGGTCTACGCTGGAAGATTCAACCATCCATGGATCCAAAAATTTGCATCTGTACTGAATAGGCACAGTATTTTTTTTCCCCTGTCATTATTCTGTAAACATTTCAGTACCATGTAAACACTACTACACACAATGCGGTGTTTACATTGTATTAGGTATTATAAGTCATCTAGGCATAATCTTAAATTTACAGGAAGATGTGTGTAGGTTATATACAAAAGCTATGTCATTTTATCTAAGGAATTTGAGCATTCTCAGATTTTATATCCACATGGTGTTCCGGAACCCATCCCCCACAGATAAAAGGGATGACTATATTTTGAAAAGGTCACTATAATTTTCAAGGTGCCAGACCATGTGTCAAATATTTACACGGATATTTTCATGTATTCACAAAGATATTATGAAACAGGTATTTTCTCCATTTTATAGATGAGAAACCAGAGGTTGAGAAGGCTAATGAACATTTCTTAAATCAAACAGCTATCCTCTAACAAGCAGATTCAATACCTGGTCTTTCTCATACCAAACTTTATGCTCCACCCACTCAGCTACATTGCCTAAATTTTCAGGAGGCAAACAGTCTCCTTCTTGTCAGAGGACTAAAAATCCTAAACCAAAAATATGGCCATAAATGCCCACAAGAAAAGTCATCTTCACCCCTTACTTAGGCTGAATACTTTTCAGAGCCTTGGTCTTTGGAGGGTACTTTGTAAGGAAATAAAAATAAAGATCCCACACATCTTTGTCCCTGGCAAGGTGCTTCTAGTGTAACAGATAAAGAAGAACCTAAAAAGATATCCTCCCAGCACAGGGGGTTACTTAGTTACTTTCTCATTGCTGGGAACAAAATATCTGACACAAGTTAAAGGAGGAAAGGTTTATTTCAGCTCATAGTGTGTAGAAGTTTCAGTCTAGAGTCAGCAGGTCCAAGGCAAGGTGGCATGACAGAGGGGTGTGGCAGTGGAGAAACAGTTCATGGCACATTGGGCAGAAGGCGGCACAGCAGCATGCAGTAGCAGCAGCAACCTTCTGTCTTCTTTCTGCTCCTTTATATGCCATCCAGGATACAAGCCTATTGATTGGTGCCAGCCATACCCAGGCTGGGGTTTCCCTTATCTACACCCTTAATCCCAGTATCACACCCTTAATCATATTCACACACCCAAACCCAGCCACCTTCAAAAGTCCCCACATATGACCACATGAGGATTTAGGGAGACATCTAGATATAAGCCATAACAGCAGGACACAATGACATTTATATCCCTGTCCTAATGCCAAGTGTTGTAATGGCCTGTTAGCTCCCACAGAACAGATACCACATCTCAAACTTAGCTCTGTATCTCCATAGCTTCTCAGTGTCTGGGACTTAGCAGGAGTTCAGTATTTGTGGAATGAATGAACAAACAAATGTGTGAATGTATAAAAATTTAAATAGCTACCACCATCATATGCTCTACTGATCCAAAAAGAGATGGAACCAACAAGAGTCGTCCCTGAATGGTACCCTCCAAGGGCTGTGACTCTTACATGAGCTTAGATAGGAAATGTTTAGCACAGGACCTAAATGGCACATTCACATTGAAAATGGTGACTGGAGGGCCAAGGATTTAGCTCACTGGCACTGTGCCTGCCTCACAAGCACAAGGTCCTGAGTTCGATCCCCAGTACCACACACACAAAAAAATGGAGGCTGAGATGAAGGACAGTACCATTACTGTTACTGTGGCTCCTTTAAAATAACCAGAGCCTCAGGATACATCCCCCACTAATCCATTTTTGCCATATTTCACTACCATCTTCAACAGGGTTGCCACCAAGCAAAGTTACAAGTTTGTCTTCGGTAAATACGTTGTCCTGCTCTGGATGATGCCCCCATACATACACCTTTGGCCACAACTGCCCTTGTGTCCCCAGCCACCATCCTACACCCTACACATTCTCATGCAAGGAGATCTGCTGCCTGTCTGCACTCTCGTCAGCATTTACCCTCCCAGGGTAATGTACAAGGCTCCCAAGTTTTACCTCCCTCTCTCCTATTTAGTCTCCTGTTCCCCACTTTGTCAAGACTGCTGTTCTACACCCATCAGACTTGGTGACAGAAATAAGTCCACCACCAAGGACAGAGACAGCTCATTCCCATCATGGGATGCCAGATGTTCACACCCTGCAGTTACATAGGGGCTTTCTAGACATTGTCTGAATCCAAGGGAGTATCTCCAAGGGTGGAACACAAACCTAACGGTGCGGTCTTGAGACAAATCAGACTGTGAGCTGACACCCTCATTGGCCTCCCCACAGCAGACCTAGAAGGTAGCCCACTCCCATATTTCTTCTCTGGGTTGAGACATGTTAGCACTTACATGCAGGTGTGGCTACTCCTCTTTCCAAGTTGAAAACCCTGTCTGGCTTAGTCCTGCACCCAAAGCCCGGCCTTTTCCCAGCAGCCACCACAGTGGGTTGCTAAGCAGAGAAGGACTGGAGGCTCCTCAGAACACCAGGCCAAACCACAAACCAGAAGGGCAAGGGTTCCAAGAGGAAACACATATGCCTCAGTGTCTCCCTCTGCAGAATGGTGGACAACTGCTAAGACCCCTTCCATATGGAAAAGTGTTTGATTTTCATTCAATAAATGGATTCAAAGATGATCCCGCAGACCAGGCCCATGGGAAGCTCAGTCTGACAGAGATTAGATAAGAATATCAAAGTCCACATGCCACAAGCCCAGTGCAGAGTTAGGATATAGTCTGAAAGTACAAAATATTCTGAAAGTATAATGTCATTTTTTAAAATACATGAAGCTGTATATCCAACAGAAAAAAATCAAGAAGTGCATCAAAATGTGACTTTTCTGCATTGCAGAATTACAGTTGCTTTCATTTTTTTATTTCTTATATTTTCTTGTATTTCCAAGACTATTATTGATAGCATCTTTTTATTTTAAAGCATATTTTTATTCAAATAGCATTTAGTTTAACTCTCAGCTACATTACAGACATGCCGTGTGACCTGAGGTGAGCCACTTACCCTCTCCAAGTCTTAGATGCCTTATATTTAAAATGGAAATTGTTTTTAATTTGATATAGTCATAAAATGTTTTTGGATCTCAAATTCAGAAGGATGAGTTAATCATGTTTCTGGATTCATAACATCCTATCATCATCAGTCTATGCCAGGCTCACTCTTATTTTTTATTGATTTATTTCTCTTACTCTCATTCCCCATTCCCATGTCCATCTGCTTTCACCCCTAGGCAAACATTCTGTGTTTAATGTCTTTTTTATTTAAGAATGTTCTTTGCAAAGTGCATGTGGTTGTTTGTTGAGTTAAATGTATTGTCACAAATTTCATTCAATTTCTTACTTTTTTCATGAAGAACAATGGATTTAAGAGCTTTCCACACTTCTCTGTGGACATGCCATCCTGGGCCTCACAGTGCTGCACTGTGCCCACCTATGCCACATCTCAAACCCAACCCCGAATGAGCATCTTCCTGATACACATCCATGCATCCGCCACATCCTGCGTTTCCCAGGGAGGGAAACCCAGGCTTTCTCCAACTCCCCATGACACCACCACCAGCACTGCCATTAGCATCCTCCTAAGTGTTCCTGGACGAACCTGTGTGAAAACACTTTGAGATCCGTGACCTAGACCAGACAGGCTGGGAAACGAGGTGTGTGTACCAAGCTGTCAGTCTTCCCTAGAACTCTGCATATCCTGTGCCCCAACCAGCTATAAGGAAAGCTCCTGAAATCACCTACTTGGCCTATTCAGCTTCCTAATGTTAGCCAGCCTAACTGATATAAATTCTATCTCGGTCGTTTTCATTTTTAATATATTTCACTGCTTAATATTTTGAGCATCTTGTCATATGTTCACTGGCCACTGGGTTCCCTATTTTGCAAATTATTCCTTCCTTTGCCCATGTTTCCAATGGGAGTTCTGTCCTTTTCTCGTTGATTTGGGGAGTGCATTATATTCTAAATATCAATGCCCTGACTGTTCTGGATATTGTAAATAACTTCTTCCATTCCGGCCTTATGGTCTATCATTTGGAGGAGCTAAGACGTTTTTCTTGACTCCTAATTTCCAAAAGGTTTTCCTTTAGGTTGTTTTCTTCTTCTTTGACACCCCGCCTTTTGCATTTAGGTCTTTAACACATCTCTTATTTGCAATGGAAACAAATCAGCACTTGCTTCGTGGTATCTCGTGGAGGTGAAAACCGTACAGGCCAGGCGCCCAGGGCAGAGCCTGACCCCGGAAGCAGTGCGCAGTTAAGGGTCACTGTTTCTAACGCTGGGCTGGAATGGGGGTGGGTGCTGCCCTAGTAAATGTGCCCCTGGAGGAACTTAGAAACTGCGAAGCTTCCTCAGGAAAGGTTTCACAGGGAAAGTTATGGACCTTGGGCCTTCTAAGGAATGTAGGAGGCCTCCGTTTTGAAACGGAAAGGCCAGGCTTCCAGGCAGAGAAAACTGGCCTGAGGCAAAAGCGCGTGGGGGCGGGAAACAACAGCGCGCTGCGCCGAGGCGAGGCGAACCGTGGGGAACGCAGTGCTCACCGACCGCTCTCTCTGTCCCCTGCAGGCTCCTTGTTCTCCACCTTGAAGCCCCCCGACGCCGTGTTCAAGGTGGTGTTCTGGCTGGGTTACTTCAACAGCTGCCTCAACCCCATCATCTACCCGTGCTCCAGCAAGGAGTTCAAGCGCGCCTTCGTGCGCATCCTCGGGTGCCAGTGCCGGGGCCGCCGTCGCCGTCGCCGCCGTCGCCGCCTGGGCGGCTGCGCCTACACCTACCGGCCGTGGACGCGCGGCGGCTCGCTGGAGCGCTCGCAGTCGCGCAAGGACTCGCTGGACGACAGCGGCAGCTGCCTGAGCGGCAGCCAGCGGACCCTGCCCTCGGCCTCGCCGAGCCCGGGCTACCTGGGCCGCGGCGCGGCTCCGCCCGTCGAGCTGTGCGCCTTCCCCGAGTGGAAGGCACCGGGCGCGCTCCTGAGCCTGCCCGCGCCCGCGCCCCCCGGCCGCCGCGCGCGCGACTCGGGCCCGCTCTTCACCTTCAAGCTTCTGGCGGAGCCCGAGAGCCCCGGGACCGACGGCGACGCCAGCAGCGGCGGGGGCTGCGAGGCCGCGGCCGACGTGGCCAACGGGCACCCGGGCTTTAGGAGCAACATGCCCCTGGCTCCCGGGCAGTTTTAGGCCCGCGCGCGGCCCCTTTCCCTGGGGAGGAAGCCACCGTGGGGGGCGGGCGGGCGCGGCCTGGGGCACACGGGCGGGACGGGGAGAGGGGCGGCTGCTTTTCTGGCAGGGGCATGGGTGCCAGGTACGGCGCGGAGGGCTGGGCCGAGCATGCCGAGAGCCTGGGGCCCCGCCGGCCCGGATTTCCGTCTCTCTCTCTCTCTCTCTCTCTCTCTCTCTCTCTCTCTCTCTCTCTCTCTCTCTCTGTATATATATCGAGTCCCTCTCTACCTGTATTTAACTGGGTTCACGTGCGTGTGTCTGTGCGGTGTACGTGTGGTGTGCATGTGTACTTGTGTGAGCGGTGGAGGAGTGTGCGCCCAGAAGTGGCAGCCCAGGCCCTTGTCTCGTGACTTCGTACCTCCCAAGTCCCTCCTTGTTCTTCGCTTTACGATGGCACTTTGACGGGGTGGGAAACAAAGTCAGACATTAAAGATCCTTTCTCCTGTGTAGTCGTGTGTAGTTTGTGGGCCGGGTGGGTGGCAGGGAGGGTCTGACCAATCCTAGGCCTTAAGGTGCGCTTACAATAAAACAGCAGCCAGGTCTTCACACTGGACTGTGGGCAATAATTACGCTATGTCCCCTTGATCCTACTTCTGCCTTTGCTGTTGCTGTTCGCCAGAGCTAAATAAATCTGATCCCGCGGCTAAACGTGACCCCCTGGGCTTGCCCCATAAATCCTGCTTCCTGCTTTGGATTCTTGGCAGTGTCTAAATCCACCCCTTTCTGTCTCTTCCTGTTGTGACTATTAGGCAGTGTTTGGCCTGACGCTGATCCCTAGGACCCCATTTCTAGCTGGAGCTCTCAGGCCAGTACCCTAGGTAGGGCAGCTCTCGAGAGGACCCAGGCAACACAGGACTAGGTCACTTCCCCTCATCTCCATTGTGTCTCTGTGCCCACTGAACCTGGAAAAAAAAATCCAGACTGTAGGAGTTTCTGGATAAGAAACACACAGGGGTACAAAAGCCCTCGACCTCTGCTAACTTGTAACTCTGCCTGGGAAAGCAGCGCTAAGGAAGGTCAACAGTGGGGTGGAGAACATCTTCAAGAAGAGAACCAGCTTCTAGTCTCAGCCCTGACACTCTTTTGTAACCAGGAGAGAGTAACACCCCCTCCTGGATCTGTTTCCTGTCTGTGTAATTATGGAGTTGATTCTAAGGTTTTCTCAGCATCTAAAAGGCACAGGTTGGAGAAGAGGATAAAAGATGAGGAGCAAAACAAACAAACATTTTCTTCTGAAACTCAGAAGCAGGGGAAGAATTGGCCCCCACATCTTTACTTTGCTTTCTGAGTTGAGCTTCAAAATTTTTCAAATGACAAAAGCCCCTCCCAGTAATGGCTACATCAATCATACATTCTGAAAGTGGACTGAAACAGAAAACACTTAAAAGGAAGAAAGCCAGTAGCTCATGTAGCTGAAAAGCATCAGGATATCAGGTTTGGCTGGATCTGGGGACTTAAAACTGTGTGTGGGCCGGGGATTAGCTCAGTGGTTTCGCCGCCTGCTGCACAAGTGCAAGGACCCGAGTTCAATCCCAGGTACCAAAAAAAGAAAAGAAAAAACTGTCTGCTTATTTGGTCTTTGACTCTCACCTAGCTCGAATCTTTTAGCTCTATTTATCTTTGTATATCACCCTTGATTTCTTCTTGGAATTAGTTTCATCACGTCTTTTTTTTGAGACAGGGTCACTGTAGTTCAGCCTGACCTTAAACTCACTATGTAGCCCAGGCTGGCCTTGAACTCTCTGCAATCCTCCTGCCTCAGCCTCCCGAGAGCTGGGATTACAGGTGTGCACCACCATGCCTGCCTTCATATCATTCTTACAAATGATGTCCCCCAAAAGAAAAATAGGACTACGCAATTCTGTCACAAAAATGAAAAACAAAAAGTCCAGGGAAAGGAAAGAATCTACTTCACAGACTCCCTTTTAAATACTGCTGAAAGCTATATACATTCCTTTCAGAAATACACACATGAGGGAACTGGTCCTGTGCTGAATCTTCAAGGTCTGCTGTCTGCTGGAAAGATGTCAGGACCTCAGTACCCTGTTTCAGTACGTTGATGAAAACCAGGACGGCTCCATTATGAAACTTGCAAAGTGGGTGGCCATCTAGACTGTCCGCCTGGCGGGAGTAGAGAGGCGAGATCAGAAGGTGTGGAGGTTGCTGCCCCAGGCATCCAGCACCTAGGGGCCTCAGTGGAACTTGTGGGTGCTGGGAAACAAAAGCTCCCTGGTGGCTCGGATACCAATTCCTCCCATTCTGTTGAGCAAACTGGGCTGTGGCCCATAGAAGCAGACGGCCCTGGAGGATGGCTGGGATAGGGAGCCCCTCACCTTGGTGAAGTGAGTTGGCAAGTTGTATGGGAGAAGTTCAGCTGATGATGAGGGGCCAGTGGCTGGCTGCATGAACGCCCTAGAAACGGGTCAGAAGACAGGTCAGGAGATTCCTGGCAATGTGCAACTCTGCCTTGAAGGCATGGAGGAGTCTGGCTCCAAGGCCTGGACAAGCTGGGTTTTGCCCAGAAAGACACCTTCTTTAAAGGTGTGGACTACATTTCCATCTCTGGCGATTACTGGCTGGGGAAGAAGAAGCCCTGCATCACATATGGTCTCAGGGCCTTTGTTACTTCTTCATGGAGGTGGAATGCAGTCCCAAAGACCTCCATTCTGGGTCCATGAGGCCATGACGGATCTCATTCATTGATGGCCTCTCTGATAGACAACGAGGGGAAAAATCCTCATCCCCAGCATTAATGAGGCCGTGATCAATGAGAAGCATGAGCTCTATGACCACATCGACTTTGACATGGAGGAGTTCACCAAGGACATCAGGGCTCAAACCCTCCTGCACAGCTGCAAGAAAGACATCCTGATGCACCGATGGCAGTACCCATCCCTCTCCCTCCATGGCACCCAAAGCCCCTTCTCTGGGTCTGGGGCCAAGACTGATTCCTAGGAAAATGATTGGCAAGTTCTCCATCAGGCTGGTGCTGAACATGACACCTGAAGTTGTCAACGAGCAGGTTACAAGCTACTTGACGAAGAAGTTTGCTGAACTACACAGCCCCAACAAATTCAAGGTGTACATGGGCCCGGGTGAGAAGCCTTGGGTGTCTGCTTCACATTATATGGCTGGGAGAAGAGCCCTGAAAACAGTTTGTGGTGTTGAACCAGACTTGACCAGGGGAGGTGGCAGTATTCCTGGGACCCTGACCTTCCAGGAGGCCACAAGGAAGAATGTGATGCTGTTGCCAGTGGGGTCAGCAGATGATGGCATCCACTCCCAGAATGAAAAGCTCAACAGGCTTTAACTACATAAAGGAACCAAGATGCTGGCTACATACCTGTCCGAGGTATCTCAGCTGAAGGACTACAAGACCTATTTTCCATTGAGTGCCATGTCTGACCAGAAGGAAACCCATCTCTACCATCTGTACTTGCCCTTGCCCTCTCTGACTGGCTCAAGAAGGTAGAAGTTCCTTCCCCTTTTTCCTCTTGTCTGTCAGGTCACACACAGACTTCCAAGAAGAGCCTCGTGTCCAGCTTTTGGGTGGGTGGAGTTAGCAATTGAGAACATTTAGTCCTGGGGGGTTATCAGGGATAGCTGGCTGACCCCTGGGTAGATTCTCACAAGTGGCCTGCATGAGTCGACCTCCGGAAAGCAAAAGCACCTGAGGTCCAAGAGTACAAGCTCTGTAGGAGGGGTTGGCTAGCATGGAATTGGGACAAACTCTACTTGCTGCTTTCTGCTGTGTTCTGCCTTCTCCATCAGGTGACTCACAGCTGGGATATTTAGAATGTAGATGAGAAAATTCAGGGGCCTCTTAGCCAGACAGCCTCCTTTGTGACCCCTTGCTGTCATGCGGTTCTGTTCTTTCTCAGGACTTTGACCAACTCCTGTGTTCTCTCAGGTCTATTTCCTGCCCTCAGAACCTAACCTAACAGTCCTCGTGGAAGGACTGGTCCATCTCAGTCTGTGTTGCTCAATAAAAGTGAAAATAAAGCCTCTGAGAGAAAAAAGAAGAAGAAGAAGAAAAAAAAGAAATGTAAACATGAAACAAATTCTACCATTTTCATACAGGATTAGTTGCCTCAGCTCTAAGATCTCATAAACAGAATGTGATATCCCAAGCACATAGATTATATGAACTGACCCATATTTTAAGAATTATTGGAGCCAACCTCCTCATTTCATTGGATGGGGAGATGGAACTAAGTAACTTGATCAAGTTGTGCCACAGCCAGAACCCGAACCCAGGTCTTCTACCTCCCTCTTCAGTACCTTTTACATCCCCTGTGTTACCATTCTGATCCCAGGCTGCGGACATCCTCCAAAAGAAAGTGGGCCTCTTCTTGCCCCTCTGGAGAATCAGGGGTCTTAGGAAACGAAGAGCTTTGAACCCCATTCCCAGGGAAGGAGAAATAGTTTGTGGCAGTCCTTCAAAATATTTTGTAAGCAACCCAAGTCTTCTTTCAAATCGACTTTCCATGGAATCCTGAGTGAAGAGGAAAGACCCAGGCCTCCTCAGGCCTCCTCAGTCTCCTCTTTCCCTCAGTCGCTCCATTTCACCGGCCTCACTCACCTGGGGCTCCGTGTACCCTGGGGAGCAGTGTAAAAATCACTGGTCTGGCGAGTGAAAGAGATGTGGAGTCAGTGAGACCAGGGTGTATGTGACCTTCGGCTATTCATCTTGTTTCTTCTGGGATGTTTCCCTGTCTAGCAAACAGACGTGATCTTTGTAGCCCACCAGGAAGCACAAAGGCTCCAATGAAATTAGAGAAGTGTAAGCAGTGATACATATGTGACCAGGCAGATGCAAGCTATAATTTGGACCTTGGATATATGAAGTCTCAGGCACCAGGGCACTTCCTGAGCTGCTCCAATCTAATCAATCATTTCCTTGGTTACTGGTGGGTAGGGGTCACCCAGGCAGCAGAGAGGAAGTGGCGGTCTCCTGCCTCTCTCCAGAAGGAAGATTAGCCACGCAGTGGCTCACATCGCCCAGGGACATGTGGTAAATCTGCCCCTAGCCACAGCCCACATGCTGGTCTGTTCAGGTCCCTCAGTGTGGCCAGGCCCAGACAGGGTAGAGTTCATCGAGAGCCCCCGGGGCAGACAGGGGGTTCTGCTTGGATCTCCCGTGAAACTGCAAAGCAACTCTACTCTCTGCAGCCGCCCAAACACTGTTGGTCATTTGTCACTACTGAGGCATGCACAGGTATAGATCTGCAACTGAGGTAAAGAGGCGAGGGGCTTGGCCAGCCAAGGTAATAGTTCCTCCTCCAGACTTGCGTTCAAATCCCACCTCTGCCATTTAACAGCTGTGTCACATTGAGGAACTTATGTCATGAGTCTAGACCTCAGTGTCCTTAAGTATAAGAAAGGAAAATAATAGCACCTACATCATAGGGACATTGAGAGGGTCAAATGAGATCATGTCAGCCATTTA